GGACAGCTCCACATACCTACTCAGAGCTGTTTCTGCTGGAGAAGTTCTCTAGGGCTGTTCTTGCACACCAGGCTTAACAGTGCTACCATCTCTCTTCCATTCCTCAGGACAAAACACTGAGAAACCTGAGGCAACTTCAACTCCAGCAGCCACCACAACTGCAGGTAAGTGTCGATAGCCTTGAGTCAGCAGCTTCTGAGGACAGCTCCACATACCTACTCAGAGCTGTTTCTGCTGGAGAAGTTCTCTAGGGCTGTTCTTGCACACCAGGCTTAACAGTGCTACCATCTCTCTTCCATTCCTCAGGACAAAACACTGAGAAACCTGCAACAACTTCAGCTGCAACAACCACCACAGCTGCAGGTTAGTACTACATGACTTTTGGTAGAGATGATGATTATTTCAGAATTGTGGTTTTTGTTTCTGTTTGTTTTCTGTTCTTTCAGAGACAGAATTTGTCCTTAGTAGGAGGTCTGGAAGTACAATATGTGGAGTTTAGCCCTGCATCTTATGAAATTAACTGTATTATCTATTTCACTTTTGGGGTTTGTAAGATTGTTACTGTGTTTTTCTCCACTTCAGAGATAATTTCATTTTCAGAAAATTCCTATGAGGTTAATTCAAAGCAATGAGACTTACTGAAAAGCAGGATTTGGTGATTTGCAAGACATCTGTAATGTTCTATATACAAAGTTTCTAAAAATATCACTTTTAATTTGTTTTAAAGTAATAAATTATCTACAGGCATGAAATACATACTTTAATAGTGATAGAGAATATACCATTACGTAGAGAAAGTATAGCTGTTCCTTTTTAGGCAAATAGTGTACCTTGTAAAAATATATTGTATATATGTTTGAGATTATTCTTATGTCTTGCTGCTCCCTACATCTTTTATTCTCAAGAATTTTCTATCATATCTTTCTAAAACTTTTCCTTATTGCCCTACATTTTTCCAGGGTCATCTCTCAGAGGATGATTTTCAATGAAGGTTTAACTGGAACATTTCCTATAAAGCTACTAGTCTTCCAAGTATTTAAGCATATTCGAGTTTAAGAGGACCTAGGTTGGCTCAGGGAAGAGTTTATAAGCTGCAGGATGCTCTGGATACAGTGGAGATCCTGTGAGGGCTGAAAAAAAATCTTGTCTTGGTTTTGCAATAACAATGCCAAACTTGGCATTATGAGAGAGGGAAACGTGTGTGGAGCCTGCAGAGGTTTTCAATATAGAAAATTTGCAGGGATAGGGCAAATCAAGTAGAGAGAGAGGCTGCCAGATAAGAGATATCCTGGGCAGGCATTCAGGGTAAATCATGATGAGCAACTGATTGCAGAAAATACAGGCAAGGCGCTGGTAGAGTACAGGGCAATGTAGAGGCAGGTTTTGGAAAGACTTTGTGGTATCATAACATGCTGCTATTGATGGCCTCAGTGTAAACAAGGCACTTACACGGCTCACATATTTTTTTTTCCCTTTCTAAGAATGATCACATCATCATCTTCAGTAATATCACCAGCAGCAAAGTAGAAGGCAGCAGTCAGTACAAATTTGCAAAGTTGTGCTGCTGTAGAAGTATGGTGTAGTTGCCAGTTAATATACTTAGTCAAATTATGTGACAGCTGTAAACCCTGCAACAAATTCTTTAGCAGCATGCTCTGGTATCTCTTAAGGTATGTAAACTATGATTATCAACTTGGAAGCCTTCATTTTGTTAATGTCTGCAGTGTAGGACCTTACCCTACAATAAGGCGTGTCCCCACCAGTGCAGTATTAAAGATGCAGAGGCCATCGTGCCCTGCCTTTTTCTAACATAGTCACTGGTTTTGGCAAGCCTCATTGTGCCTGTTTGGTTTAGTTTGGTTTGAGTTCCATTAAGCAGAGTTATATTGTGAATGTTCAGTGTAACAGAGAATGGATTTCAGCCTTTGTGTCCTCACTGTGGTATCCTGCTGGATTGTGTAGGAAAAACAGTTACTATACAGACATTAGGCAAGCAAGACATAACCACGTGCTCTTTAATTTCATCTATATTCTATAAAATACACCTGGTACTTTCCTTCAGTAGAAGCATATATTAACTATTTAATACATGCACCACTCTTTATATATGAACTGGCTATTGCAATTTCACAGAAATCCTCATGTCAATATTTTTCATCTTTGTAGCAGGGAACTTCTGTTACCCAGATTCTTGTGGAGCAAGTTTGGCTCAATGTCTTTCTTTAAATAGCACTTATACCTGCCAGTGCCCATATGGACTCTACTACAGCGATAAGGGTTGTCAGACAGGTGAGTTGCAAAAGGTCAATCTATATTTTTAGTTACTTCACAGATAACTGTTCAGATGAATTTTTCTTCCCATATTCCATGTTCTCATGTTATAACTGAAAACAGAATGAGTCTGGCAAAGTGACTGCTGAATGATACCTTGCTTTGCAGACAGGCAATGCTACAATGACCTAGATCATTACCTTGTAAAGCAGTAGCAGCCAAAGAGGTTTTGTGTTAGGAAAAACACCCAACTCTGTCAGGGATGCTGGGAATTAAAAAGAGTGAAAAGCAGGGGAAAAAAGCGAGTGTAAACCTGACATCAACATTGATGGCCAGGATATAAAGGACTCAAATGCACAAAGACATCTGGACAACCAGCTTCGTTTTTACACTCCTCACAGTCCTGCTGAAATGCATCTCTGAGATGCTGCTGAAGACCAAGTGCGTGAGCAAATGAGGATTCTTATTTAGTGCTGGCAGGCAGCATTCTTAAATTTACTTGGGAGCCTAAAGAAGCAGGTAGACATCTATCATTGCTTAGTGGCAGCAAATATGAAGTCTGTAATATAGGTATTTCCTCATTAAAACCCATAACACCTCAGATGGAGTCTTTTGCTAACTTCAGGCCATGTGTATAGTTTAACTTTATTCAGTTTCACAGTTTGGCCAGTTTGGTTAAGCCCAGTATCCTGCCTGCTTCCCAGGTAGCCAGAGTACACCTCCCATTACAGCTGAATTGATTGAGCAAACATTTTTCCCTTACTGATTCCTCCAGTATATGAAAAATAGCACTGATTGATTTCTGTATTGTATTTCCTCAACTCTAAGGCAAGACCTGACTTAGTCGACTACTTTCCAATTAATTAATATTCTCTCTTCTCATTCCAGGGAGAACATTCTCCGGGTTCATTATACTGAAAGAAAAATACAGTGAGAATGTTCACAATATAAATTCTGCGGAGTATGAAAAGGTGTTCCGAGAGATACAAGACTTTGTAAGTCACAATGTGTGGGGTTTTTTTCTGTATCTGTAATGCTATCCTGAATGTCATGCAGACAGAGGGGATACATGCTGCCTTTAAAGTAGAACCTAGAGCAGTTTCACTTGAGAAATCCATTTCTTTCGAAGAACACTTCACACTAGTTTAAACCTAGGCATGAAAGACTTTAGTTTTGCCCTCATAGGTAATCTCTGCATTTTTAGTGCCACTTCTGTTCTGGGAAGTTCTCACATAAATTGCTCTAGATCTTTCACCACTCCCTTTCCTATGAATGTTTTATCAGAAAGTAAACAAAAATTGTCCCTCCAGAATGTTAAAAAATATTTTCCTCAATTTTTTTGTCCAACACTTTTTCCTGACATGGCTCTGGATGTGCATTACGTGCAGCACTAGAATAAACATGTAATAGTACGCAAGAGTGAAAATAATGTTTATTTTATATGATATATATACTTTACAATGAAGGGTAGTTTATCTTTAAATTCAATTGGCTCATACATCTTATCCTTTTTGCACGGTGCCTCCTGCTTGTGCAGCAGTTGAAGACAGCTGCCTCTACCACTTGTCCCCTGCTTCACAGGGGGTGAGGGAGAGCAGTGACTATTCTACTGACCCCATCCAACTCCCAGGGCTTTCATCAGTGCTGTGCTTCTCCCCACAAGCTTAACCCCCCCCGATCCCACTTCACTGCTTCTCAAGGTCACACACCATCTGTAAGGATGCCTACTTCTCCCTCTTTCCTCTGCTCATAAGTAGGTTGGTAATGTGGAAATGCCCTTCTAAGTAATGAGTCTGTGAGGCAGTATCTGTTGCTACCCAGCCAGTCAGCCCGAATGCACTGCCTGACATATATTCAATCCCTGTCTCTCCACCCCTCTCAGCAGCTCTCCTATATTCCCTGTTTTCCAGCACCAACACCATTGCTTGTCTTCTGCAATACCTTGCAGAGCAGGTGCAACTGATCAGCTCACTTTATTTGCACCTATAGTTACATGTTCTGGATTAAAACCCTACAGCTGAACCCTCTGTGCTTCCAGTGATTTTGGTCTATGTTTTTTTTACAGTTTCAGGATGCCCTCAAGGATTTAGGCTTAGAACAGACTGTCATCGTGAACATTCAGTAAGTTTGCCTGTTTGTTTTTTGCACAGTGTGTGTGCTTCCCACACACCCTATTTAATCTGTTTCCAATGGACCACTCAGTTGAGACTATAGGCTGAATTCAGTTCAGTACTCCTCCTGTTAAAGGAAGACATTTCTTTTGTAATTTTGATTGGTGCAGAGGTACCTGTGCTAAGTGCATGGTAGCTGTGCTGGGTTCTGCTGGGCACCACGGGACCCCTTCTGAATTCTTTGTGGTCATATCCTGAATGATCCTCACCATGCTTCAGGATGGGTTCTCCATGTCATGCCTGGATGACAACACAGGCTTATGTGAGCATGTAAAGGCCAGGGTCTAACAGATGAGGTCCTGCCCACTGCAGGCAGCTTCAGGTTAGCCTAGTAAAAATCCAACCAGTTGTGTGCCAACAGCACACAAAGGAGTGTTGTTGTTAGCATTCAATCCAACAGCCTTGCTTACCAGCAACTTATTTACATCTGCATCTGCTGGAAAGATGGTGGCCATTAATGGATTCCTAAACAAGACTTGAATTCATTTTCAGGTGTCTTAGCAACTCCCTACATTGTAGAATGAAAGAAGCATAGGGAGAGATTGAGGTGTGCCAGAAATCTTCTCTTGTCTTTTCATCTAGCTTGCTTCCCATATGGATCAATTAAGACTTTAAAATTATGGTATTTGTGCTTTTCAGACCTGAGAATACATACAGAGCTTCTGAGTCCATTAATGTAACAGTGACAAACCTGTTTGTGAAGACGTCAAATGCAAACCAGGAAAAAATTAGTGATGCAATAACGAAAGCAATAGCTAACAATGCATCCTATGTCTCCAAGTACAACGGTATGTAATTTCTTACTGTGGAAGCAGACAATCAGTAGAAACAGAGATTCCTATCTTCAAAGATGGTTTGCTGCTGTTCCTGAGATTAAGCCAGTATTTTACTGGTAAACTAGGATGAAACTCTCTTTAGTCTACTTTTTCCATACTTAACCATGGTAATTGAAATGAGGTCTCACTGATTGGATACTGAGCTAAGTGATTCATTGGTCTAAACCAGTAAAGTCTTGCATTACTGAAAGTGTAATACTCAGAGAATTATTTTCTAAATAAAATGAGGAATTATTTTGAAATCAGCTTTCACAAAATTCATAGCTAATAATCAAAGGGGTCCATTTCATGGATTCAGAGCCCGAATTTGGTCTCTGAAGGTGACTGTATCCACCTCTATCATGACATGACTTGTGTGCTGGTCCTTAACATGAGGAGGGAAAAACCCAACAACTGAGAGCTCCCAAAGCACTACTACAATCACATCCTTCCACTGAAGGATGCCACCCACTGAGGTCTGTAAACCATTCCCACTACCTGGACATGAATCTAAAGAGCAACATGCCGGGGAAGGGCATACTAATATTGCTCATGCAGTGAGCAAATATTGTTATCTGTGTATGGGATCTGGCCTCACAGTCCAATTGTAGAAAAAAACTAATGGAATAGTGCTGAGCTTTTTCTATAGTTATTTTGAGTCAGAAAGTGTGTGTTCAGAATATGAACCTATGGGTGGGATTTCCCTGTTTGTGAACTGGGGGGCAGGAAGGTTTGGAGGCAACTACAAGAGGCTGAGAAATGGAAAGTCAGAAGATGTGGTGGGAACAGGACCTTAACTGGTGAAGAGCAACAGTAAAGAAGAGGCTGATCCAAAAACCTGCACTATGGATGTCCTAAATGAAAGACTTAGAAGTTGGGGTTTGTTGGTTGTTGTTGTTTCAGAATTGCTCAACAATTGGTTTATGATTTACTGAGCAAGTGCACTACCTTGTATGAAATTATCAGTACTCAGGTTTCCTTCCTGTCTTCCTTTTTAAAGGGACAACCAATTGTGTTGCTTTTGGCTGTGATCTTCGAACCACAGAGTGCATAGATGGAGAGTCCCCAGAATGTGTGTGCAAAAAGGATTTCTCCAAGACAAAATGGGATGTTCTTTCTTGTTCAGGTAAGAACCTTGCTCCTTTATCTGTATTGACTTCTGAAAATCAGCAATTGTGTGTCTTACTGAGAAAGCCATAGAAACACATTCTCATGTTTCACTTTAAACACATCCATAATCCTATCCCAGTAGAATAAGCTACTAAAGCCTGAAAAAACTATCACTGAAATGAGTGAGTGAGCAATTCTTTAAATGTATTGTTAAACTCTTGGAAAGAATTGAAACCTGAATAGGTAAAAGGTGGAACAAATAGAATTCTATACTCACAGCCTAGAACATACTTAGGGAATAAATTCTACATGCTATTTGAGAAGAATGACTTATGTGATTTTTTAGGAACTGTTACTTGTTGGGGTTTTATTTGCTTGCTGACTCTTTTCTTGAGTACTCTGGTTATATTTCCTCCTCAGCCCTGAGATGTACCTTATCTTCTTTTTATGAAAACTAAAATTTTCACACTAAAGGAAAAAGTCTAAGATATGAGAACTTACCAAAAATAACTATTGTGAACACTCATGAAAACTGGCTACAATAAAGGCCAGTGAGATGTGATCCAGTGTAGGCCTTTGTGGCCCCTAATCTGTCTGATTCTGATCCACTTTTAGATCAGTTGCAACATAAATCATCTGCTGTACCATCAAACTGCAGGTCATTGCTTGCCTATGCAAGATGCAGCCAAGCTCGATTTCCATTCTAATTAAGATAGATGGTTTTAAACAAAGACTGTTTACTTCTTATTTTGTGATTCTATATTCTAGCTTCTGTTCTGCATAGCCCTAAAAAAAAAAAAAAAAAAAAAAAAAAAAAGCCATTTTGGTGCTTAGAAGTGCAACAAAGTTGTACTTACATTGTAATAATAAAAAAAGGGGGGGGGGATTTTTCTCCAATGTTGATTTTTAGGGCTACCTTTGATTAATTCTGTATTTTTTCCCTCTGAAAATACAGGTTGCAATGAGAACTGTTCTCCACTTGAGAATGAGTACTGTGCCATAGAAGAAGAGGTTCCATCATGCAAATGCCTTCCCAACTTTCAAAGGGAGCATGAAACATGTGTAGCGTGAGTACCCAGCTTTTTCTTGCTTTCCTGTGTTCTAGGCAAAGATAGGGGAGAGAAACATCTAACACAGGGTCGCCCTCAATCTAGAAGAAGAGGCTGAAGCTCTGTGAGTCAGATGGGTGCCTAAGGTGGACAAATTTCCAGGGTGTCACAAGTTAGGGGATGTTAACTGCTCGGTATTAGCCGTTGGTGTGTGCTCATAGCACCTCAGAGGAAAGCCAAGGAGATCCAAGGTCATCTGTGAGTCTGTGAAGAGGATGAATTACTTCATATTTATTTTGTGGGTTGCCCACAGAAACATTAACTATTTCTTCAAAGTCATTGAGCCCTGAGGACTGGTATGCAGAAGCATCTAGTAAGCAACAGGCATTAGAGCAAGACTTGCCTCAAATCCCTGGGAAGTTTTCACTGGTATCAGTGGGGATTCTCTTCCCTGATAACTTTCTGACCTATGTTATTTCATCTTGCTTTTCTCTCTGCAGGTAGTTCTGTCAGCTCAGGAGCAGAACAGAGTGTTGTTGTTTGCTGGTGGAGCTGAAAAAGTCACTGTTTTTGCTGTGCTCCTGTGAATAAGCAGAGGGATCTTAGTCCTCACAAATAAATTAATTTGGCTCTTTTTCTAGCTACTGCTTCTACACACTGAGCACTTCTTCCCATAAAATCAATATATTTTAAATATGAGAAACTAGTATGGGAGGAAAATATAAAGCTGCCAGCCCTTATAGACCTTAGGTTGAGGCTTTTGATAAAGACAAGTCCAAGTGGCTCTGAGGAGTAGGTCTTAGTTCTTTGGAGAAATCAGGCCCTTTTAATATTTTTCAGACTGAGAACCTGAAACTTCCAGTGGCCAGCTCACCAATCATTCTGAAAACATCAGATTGTTTTGCTCTAACCATGAAACTAAAGAATCAATATTAAGATAGATTTAAAGAGGAAACCCTGTAATGCACACAGCTTGTGGAGAAATTGCTGAGAAAAGGTGGATATATACTATTGTTTTGTGATGATCTGCTTAATGAAATTGTCTTTCTTTTCTTTCTTTCCCTTTTTTTCCTTTTTCTCCCATGCAGCTGTCCAGTGGGCTACTCTGGGGAGGACTGCAATGACAGTAAGTACAAGAGTTTCTGATTTTTAGTTTTAACATGGAAAAACACCTGGCAATGTGCCTGAGATAATAAAAATAGCAAGTAGTAGCCTTTTGGGGTGCCACCAACCTACACTGATAGCAGGAAAATATTAGAAAAAAAATGAGTGAAATGCCACTGTTGCATGGAAGGAAAAATCCTTCTTGAAACTCATGTTCAGACAGACATTAGCATTTCCTCTAATGACCTCTGCATTAAGCACAGTAGCTTTTAGTCAAATATGGGTTATTTGGCAGAACAGCATTTAATCCTCATCTAAGGAATGCAGTGCTGATCTCAGCACCACTAATGAATTAGTTTCTCCTGTAATTAATCACTCCTTCTATTAAAACATTAGTAGATTACTCTTATTTGAAGCATTTCTGCCTTACTATCCAACCACTGGTTCTTGTTTGTGCTTCATCTTGCAAGCACTGCAAGAGATGATGGCCTCAACTGTGTTATGCCCTAATTGTGATAATCTGGACAAGCTAAACAGCTGGGCCTTCCAAACATTTTTCCTTTTCAGAGTCAGTTTTGCAGCAGTTGGATACTTTACACATTTTGGCATAACTTTTATTTTTGAAAAATCATATTCCATATTGTATCTTTTTCTCTCTCTTTTTCTCTTTCTTTCTCTCTCTCTCTCTCTCTCTTTACAAGAGGACAGAGACAGGAATTGTGTTTCAGTGTTTACCATGAGTTCTCAGTGTTTCTTGTTGTGTTTTCTTTTATTTATTTTTTGTTGTTGTTGTGGCTTTTTTTCCCAGATACAGAACTCAGCCTTATAATAGTGGGTACCGTGTTGGGAGCCCTTATCCTGATTTTAGTTATAGCAGTTTCTGTCATTTCTGTAAGGTAAGAGTATTTCTTACAAGTGAATAGAACATGCATTGCTGCATATTTGTAGAGAACTAAGCAGAAATTCAGAGGGGGGCAGGGCTGTCCATGGGGTTGCATGCCGAGTTGAGTAGACAAGTTGATTTAAGTCACATAGCCATTAGAATGGCTTTTGCCTGTGTGACTATGAAAGTTCCAGCCAAGTCTTCAAAATACACACCTGACCCGTTAGTCCTAATCCTGCCTTAGCCAATACTGATGGGGCATCTGGATGAGACTGAAGAAGGATGCAGTTATCAGAAGACTGTGTGGCACAAATTCAGACCCTTTGCAGCTTTCCCTGCAGGCACTTCAGCTCAAGGCCAGGTGTGCCCCTTTCAGCTCAGTACAGGTGGCATTTCCAGCCAAGCTTGCTATTCCTGGTGTACTGGCTAATTCCCAATTGCAGTAGCACTTCCTTTTCTGCACACAATACATATAGAAACACTCAAGCAGCTCTCTGGCCTTTGCTCATGGTGCTGCCTGGGTGAAGATGTCTGCAAGACCACCCAGAGCAGGCGTAGCTCACCAGCAGGTGCACAAGCTGGTGCCAAGGGTGTGTGCCATGTATGGACTTGTGGTCACAGACAATTCAAGTGTGTCATTTGAGTGTCCAGCTTTGGCTGCAGGCAAGGGGGCAGCTTTTCATAGCTGGGCCTAATGAATGCACCTCATTCCTTCCTCTGAATAGTCAGTTAGGACTAGTGGTGGTTGAGGAAACTCCTTTGCTGGAGGAACTATTGAAAGAGGCCGAAGTCCCCTTCTGTCTCTCCTGGGAGCTTAGCCCCTTCTGTGATTAAATATGCTAGACTTTGTACTGTATCACAGATAACAAGGGTTTAGGTACTCTAGAAAAATCTGTGACATGTTTCAGAACAGGGTTGAGCATTCAAGATAAGGTGGGAGTGGACAATTCAATTAGTAGGACTTGCTAAACAAGGCACACTGAAATGTCTTTTGAAACCGTCTTTGTTCCTTCATTTCCTCTGAAGAGCCAAACACAGAAAAGATCCAGAGAAGAGGAGCCTGATAAAGCAAGGATATTACAACTCTGAAGATGTACACACCACAGTGTTCCCCAGAGTCCAGACCACTTCTGGTCATGCAAATGCAGGATACCAGCCAAACAATCCGTATGAGATGCGTTCCACAAATAGAGGACCATTTCCAGAGAGGGATTATGAGGAATCGGTAAGTGCTTCACACAGACCTACAGGAATGCAACCCTGAACTGTAGCACCGTGGGCCACAGACACTGTTGGAACCTATGCTGCACTCTGCCCACCTTCCCTTGATCTAGAAGGCCAAAGTGGTATAAAGGCAACTAGACAACAGTATCTGCAGCTGAAAAAACGTCCCTTAATACAGAGATCAGTGTTCATCTTATTAAGGCCTTTCCAAAGCCCAGTCATCATCCTTGAGTCCTAGGGGTGATGTGTGAAAAGCAAGGGTCAAAGCAGCAGCGTGGCTGCTGTGTTGTAGGACACCTCTTTGCACTGACAGGGCACATCCTTCAGCACAGACACACCTGCAACCTTCACAGGCTGTTGCAGCCTGTGTGGCTCCTAAGCCAGCTGTGGTGACCAGAGGTGCTGCAGAGGCACGTCCCAGTTGCAGCCTGATGCAAGATTCACAGTCAGCTCAGGCTGGTTGCCCAGAGGCTTGATGTCCTCCCAGCCACTCCACCACTGCCTAGCTCCCAGCAAGAGCCTCTGCTACAGCATTGCAAAGGGGTAAAGTGCCATGAAAATGCCAGCACAGCTTTTGTGCCGATAAGCCTGGAGCAGGCTGCTCAGCAGAGGCGTGTCATTAGCTGGAAAGGGTGTTCTAAAAAAAAATAAATTGCCTGTTTTATCCTGAACTCTGCAAGGGAGCTGCAGTGGGAGCAGGGGCTTGAGAAGAGCTACACTGTGATATGATTGATTTGCTGGATTGTGCATACATTGAGTAAATAGGAAGCATATTGTCCATTCAAAACTTATTTAGATGATGTAGCTCCACCTCTACATTGCAAGAGACCACCCCTGTTCAGTGAAGAATATCCTTTTAGCTGTAATATACTTATGTGTGCTGCAGAATTGAGACCTAAGCCATGATAGAAGCAACAGAGAAGCCTGATATTTAAAAACAAAGACATCTGCTTTAAAAAATCTGCCAATTAAGAGAAGAGAAATATCTATTTAGTAAATTGATCAGATTCACATGGATTTTGACATCTCTAACTTTCCAAGGACGTCAACTTTTCAGTGATGAAAATCTGCCTGTTTGGTTTTCCTTGAGGGCTGGTGTGACAGAGGGTGGGCTGTCATCTGCAGTGTGCTACAGGCTGAGCTGTTCTAAGAAAGGAACTTTCTGACCAGAGCTACTCTTTCTTTTCTTTTCTTGTTCAAATTCTCTGTAGTATGACGTGTCTGGGGAGCCTCAGGGCTTTAGGATGCCGAGGAGATACTAAGTGACCACAGAGCAGAAGAATGGACATCACTGGTGACAATGGGTCAGACCAAAGACTTTTGCAGCCTCTCACCCATGCAGTTACTTCAGCAGAGGAGACAAGGAAGTCCATAACCACAGATTCTCTGAATGTTTTCTAAAGAAAGACCCCTGCTTGAAAGAGATTATGGGCAACGCTGACATAAAGGAAATCTTGGCCTGTATTTGTGCTCATTCCATTTCACCTACAGGCAGCCTGCCTGGCTTAGGTCAGACCACAGCAAGATCCAAACTGTTCTTCATGAGAACCTAACCTGTTTCTCTTTACTATATCAGATAGTCTTTCTCCCCCTCCTCAACTCACTGATAGTTCCTGTCTGAAAGCATTCAGCTCAGTTCTCTGCTGACATGTGTTGTGTGAGGCAATGGTTCTTGTCTGACCTTTTATGCAGACTTCATTCCAACGATAAGCAACAATATCCTCAAACAAACACTGCTGTTCTCCATCTTGCAAAGCTGTGTTGCTTTTACATCCCCAGCTCCTATGGAAAGTGTTAACATTTTTTTTTCCCTCTTCCACTCTTTACATTTTTATTGAATCAGCTTAAGTCTTTTTCATTTCTTACACACACTCAGTAAATCCACCTGTAACAGAATCCACATTTTACTGTATTTTACTGTGTACATTATCTATTAACTATCATTAATATTTCCTTATATATATTAAATACATTTATGTACATATATTTATAGATTAAGCTCATTTAAAGCATCTTTTAATTTCATGTTATATTTTGTGTTTTGTTTTTTATATTAATAGATTAGCTTTTCCTATTAAACATTATTGTTTCTCAGTACCAAGTCTTTTGCTGCCCAGTGGTGGTTTGGTTTGTTGGTTTTTTTTTTTTTTTTTTTTTTTTTACAACTCCAGAGATTATTTTATGTTGAAACTTCTGCAGTTTAGATACAAGTGTGCTCACACTGGTTGCATCAGCACCCAGCGTTGGCTCAGAGGTTCCAAATAGATTATTATTAAATCTTAATGAAGCCAAAATACTTATTGCTGTAGGGCTGGCAGCAGTTTTCTATGGTCACTTTTGATCGTGATTGCACAGTTAGTGCAGCTGGGTCTCCTTTGAAAGTGCTGGACGAGCTTTCTCTGTGCTGGCAGCTTAGTGCATATCAGTGTGTTCATATCACACAGCAGAAAAAAGGAAGTGTCTTCCAACTGAGATGACAATGAGGGCCAGTGGTAGAGAATGCTCTGTGTGGCTGTACAGGTTAGCAGGCTGTGCATGAAGATGGGTTGTTGCAGTGCTCCTGGTGATCAAAACCAGCTCTTACTTGGTCATTATATGGTTAAAAACTGAGAACTAAACAGTGCTGATCTTTCTCATGTGGTTTCTCTAGCAAAAGAAGATAGACTCTGCAACTGTCTGCAACGAGCAGTTCAGGGAGAAAACCTGGGGAGAAAAGGTGGAAGTATCTCTCTTTTTCTGGGTTTTCACTGTTAACTGTCAGAATTTCCTTCTTCCAGTTAACTCCAGTCACTTTTGCTGCTGTCACCTGGCTGTGCAGTGCCTCCTGTTGGCAGGTGTCCATGGGAGACCGGGTCCTGGTGGCCCTTAGCCACCCTGCATCAGCTCTGTGCATCTCAGTGTGCACAAGGTGACCTTTACTGCGGGTGAGCAGGACTAGCTGGATGTAGCGACTCATGACACCTTATTCCAAGGATGGTAGAGGTTTGGTCTTACTTTCTTGGCTTTCCCTCTGAGAGTACTCACCTATGAGGAGGGAAGCAAGGCACTGTGGCTTCCCTTAGCACAAGAGACAGAGGGGTGCTGACCTTCCTCCAGCTTGGATAGCCCTGCAAGGGGAACCAGCTCCCTTCCCCAAGAGTTTCATCAATGAATGGCCCCCCCTGCCTGCTGCACCTTTCTTTGTCTTTGAGCCCTGTGTGTGTGTCCCCAGCACTCCCTGGGTGAAGAAGATCATAGAATCATAGAATGATTAAGGTTGGAAGGGGCCTTAGAGATCATGAGGTTCCAACCTCCCACTAGACCAGACTGCACAAGCCTCATCCAACCTGGCCTTGAACACCTACATGGAGGAGCAGCCACAACCTCCTTGGGCAACCTGTTCCAGTGCCTTACTGCCCTCATGGGGAAGATTTTCTTCCTGATGTCAAACCTAAATCTCCCCTATTTCAGTTTAAAACCATTACCCCTTGTCCTATCACTACCCCTGCTCCCTGCCTCTTATCCCTCTGCCAAGCCCTTTTTTCCCCCCCTATTTCTTGATTTTTTCAGAAGCAGGAAAATGTTCTGCTGCCAGCAGAGCCCTCTGGGGAGTTTGCACAGGTTGAGGCACTGAAAAAAGGGAGGGTTACAGGCAGCACAAATAGTAAAAAACCCATGAAGCTCAGTGTAGACTTCTACTGTGCTCAGCCAGCTGCTTTTGCTGGGATACCCCCTCCTCCCTTTCCTTGTATGGCAGACTGAAAATTTGGCTTATGTGGAGTCTAATAAAAAGATGTCTCTGTATTAAGAGTAACAGCCCATGCATCATGGTCTTCATTGGGGTAAATTGCCTGTTTCCATCAGATTAGTGCAGAGGATCCTTAAAATACGTGTAACAGGAGCCTGCTGCAGGGGCAGATGAAAAGGCTTTTAAGTGTTATCTTTTAGTCTTTCACAAAGCAATAGGACTTGGAAATACAGTTGAAAGTTCAACAATAAATGAAACTTTGATGCAGTAAAACTTGGTTGAGGGTGTGATATCTGGACTTCTGCTGTCATTTATCATAAAAGCAGCAACAATCATTAGGTGTTTGCATCATTTAACTGCAGAGGAATTTTCATTGCTCTAGTTCAAAGCTGATTTCTGCAACTGCAACCAGTTCTCATGTAGCCTGTGCTGGGGAGGGGCTATCAGATACTGCTGTAAGCCAACACTGGCCTTAGCATTTCAAAGGCTGCTACAGATATTTTATCTGGACTGGAATTATGTACTGAAAGGGCAAACTCTCAGTTATTTCACTTCTCTTTGGCTGTTAACAACATGTGATTCTGTTGGGAAATGTGATCATGAAAAATAGCTCCTTGTGGTGTTTTACAACTGCTGGCTTCTTGGCTTGTGCTGTGTTTCAGCTGCCCGTTCTTCAAAATCCAACCAGGCATAGGAAATGGAGCTGGGTCTTGTGTGAGAGATGCCATGTCTGCAGGCAGGGTGAGAAGCTTCAGGGAACTACCCCAACTTGCTTCACACCCTGGGATCTCCCATATATCCTCTCCCCCAGGATGCAGGGTGTTCTGCTGGCATGTGACTCACAGGGGAGATGGTGCCACTCAAGTCTGCCACTCACTTTTCCCCTAGACCAAAAATTACACTTGAGAGTGTAATTGTTTGGCACATCTGCACAGGGTGTCCTAAATAGCACTAAGGGGTTGGGAGAGAGATTTGCATGGTTAGAGGATGTACTTCCATGGGGGGATTGGGAAGACTTAAATCATGTGGCACTCTTAATTGATTTGGGTACACCTGAGAATATTCAAGTGATGCAGGGTGGCACAGGAAGGGGTACAGTGCTGTAGATTTTACCCAGGGTAAAAGCCTGGGTCTGGGCAGCTGCCTTAGAGAAGCTGTCCCACACTGATGTGATGAAACAGTGGGGTAAGGATGGGCTTAATCAAGCCTAACAGATCTTGTGCTGTTTGCACTGCTTATGTCTGAAACCAGCCTCAGAAATAAAGCCCTGCATCCACACACTCCCCAGCAAAGCCCAACATCCCAAATGGCACTTGCAAGGCAGCACCTTTCAGACCTGAAAGCAGGAAGCATCTTGCATTTTTCTGGTTACCTGCTGGTGAAATTCCCCTTAGAAAATTTTTACCTAGATCCTGCACGTGACCTACCAGGCTGGAGACATAAACAAGTAGGAGCAAACAATGAAGGTAAGACAACAGTGCAGACCAAAGGGCTGGACTTTTCACTTCTTGTGTACTTTCTTTGACTTTGATGGCTAGTTTTGAAGATGTATGATAGCTTTCCTTCCCACAGGGGCAAGGGAAAAGGAGCCTCTAGTGAGAAGTACTCTTCTCCTTCCTAGGAATAGCTCCCTCAAAGGAAACCCCACTACAGAGAACTTTTAGGGAAACTCAGGCAAGGGATTCAGGCAGATACCCTGGTGAACATCATTGTCTCTAGCTGGTTTTGGGGAGACCACCTTAGCTTCATCCCAGGCTCAGGAGGGTGACTGGACTCCAGCACAGCCCAGGGACAGAGGATCCTGCCTGAAAATAGCAGGATTAGCTCAGGGCTACAAACTGCAGAAGGCAAGGAGGCAAGCCTAGCACTGCCTTATTCATTTGCCACTCTGTGAGAGGAGAAGTGTCATTTGTCAAGTTTAACAACTACCATATCATCAATTGCTGGTTTTTCCCCATTTCCCCACCCTCCTCCTTATTTTTAGCCCAATAGTGCTCCCTGTTTCAAACCTTTGTGTCTGATGTTTGCAGATGGAACAGCCTTGTTTATAAAGGGTTCCCAGGAGGATTAAGTTGAATTCCCCCAAGTGTTGGGGGTGTGAGCTGAAGATACTGATTTTTGCAGAAACCAGTAAAAAAAATAAATAAACCAAATAAATAAATAAAGTTAACCTAAAAGCCCAAAGTGGTCTGAGAACAGGGAAGCCCATAAAACATGTCAGGTCACAATCAAACAGGATATAACCAGGGCTAAAAATAAGAATATGTACATTACCTTGCAAAGGATGCTGGTAAAAAACTGCTGGTAAAAGGTTCTTTAAGTGCATAAAAGCCACAAAAGCAGCTAGGAAATCAGTGGGAATGCTGATAAAAGGGTATACAAGTGTTTGATGGGCATAATGAAGATGTAGCAGAGGAGCTCAGTTATTTCTTTGCAGCTGTTTGCAGCTGAAGCTGTTAGAGAGCTTTCCACATCTGTCACACTCTGTCATGGATCAGCTGGAGGAGCTCGAGCAATCAGAAGTAAAACAGTAAC